ATAAGAATTTTATCGTCCTTTTCCAGCAAAAAATGAAAGGCTGTTTATAAATTCCGGAGTTGTACTACGCACTAATTTCCCAATTCTCGCTTTCTCATTTTGATATTTTAGAATTAATTCTTGGATTCCAAAGCAGCAAGCCCTGGCAAGAAATACAGGGGAAGGAGAACGTAAACTGTTCCTAGCATTCGGATGCGTTTCTAACCATTAGTAGCGATAGACATCGATACCAGCTGCTCAGATGATTGAAGTAACCTGGTAACACGTTTTTTAATGCGAAGTTCGCGAAATGTTAATTCGTTTATATTTTTTGGCTCCATTTCAGAAGCCAACAACTCCGATAGTTTTGCTCATTTGAACAATGAAAACATCACCGTGCTCCCCGTGCAGATCGACCCGAAGCAACACGTCGAGAAGCGCGGCGTACACGACGCGAACGCCGTCGGGGTCTTACAGATGGCATCCTTTCTTTTGACTCTACCGGCTAAGACCTGTATGAATATAAAAATAATCTTTCTGATTAAAAAAAGTATTATATACTCTGCACTTTGCAGAGCCTTGATAATTTACATATACGAATTTACGAATTACAAAAATGTTTGGTATTACATGTCAATTTTAATCTGCCCTGCGAACGAACTGGCTGGGTAGTCATCCATACCTTTGTTTGAGCTGAAGCGGTCATAGCGAAAGCACTGGCACAGTTAGTGAAATGGATGAAGGAGCAGCAATTTTTTCATAAGTCAGCTTTTTTTGGTTTGATTTCGCACTTTTCGGTATCATCTCAACGCTTAGTTCTATTAATCTTTCCATCTGGAAAAGTAGATTTATGAAAGCAGCGCTATTCATGCGCAGAAAATCGGGAACAACCAATTCTTCCAGTGGGACAGCCAATTCCTCTTCTTTTTTTTTATGCGTTTTTTGCAGCAATACAATGCGAAAAATGCATATTGACGAGAGGTTGTCTGTGTGTGTATGTGTATGTGTGTGTGTGTGTGTGCGTGTGTGTGTGTGTGCTGGGCTTCTATACCGATTTTTCATCTCAAGACCGGTAAAAGCTATAGGATTGAAACTTTTGGGGATTAATCTACATGCACGTACGGGCCCATATCTCCAAATGGGCGGTCTTTCCCGCTTGGTACCCACATAAGAGCCCGCCAAAGTTTTTTATGGGTAAGCTGCTAACTCGCGAACCAGAGAAGCTAGAGAGCTG